CTGAGGCAAGAGCCCAGGAGATTGAGGCTGCGGTGAGCCATGTTCATGCTACTGCACCCCAGCCTGGGCAACATAAGGGACACTGTCTCAAAAATAAATAAATAAATAAATAAAAGGCTAAGTGGCTGAGTGCGGTGTCTCATGCCTGTAGTCCCAGCACTTTGGGAGGCCAAGGTGGGCAGATCACCTAAGGTTGGGAGTTCAAGAACAGCCTGAATGACATGGAGAAACCTTGTCTCTACTAAAAATACAAAATTAGCTGGGCGTGGTGGTGCACACCTGTAATTCCAGCTACTGGGAGGCTGAGGCAGGAGAATCATTTGAACCTGGGAGGTGGAGGTTGCAGTGAGCTGAGATTGAGCCATTGCACTCCAGCCTGGGCAGCAAGAGCAAAACTTTGTCTCAAAAAAGAAATAAAAACTAAAAGGCTAGACATGGTGGCTCACTGTAATCCCAAGCATTTTCGGAGGCTGAGGCAGGAGGATCACTTAAGCACAGGAGTTTGAGACCAGCCCGGGCAATATGGCAAGATCCTGTCTATAAGAAGTACAAAAATTAGCTGGGCACGGTGGCGTGTGTCTATAGCCCCAGCTTTCAGGTGGGAGGATCACTTGAGCCCAGGAGGCCGAGGCTGTAGTGAGCCATGATTGCACCACTACACTCCAGCTTGGGTGACAGCAAGACCCTATCTCCAAAAAAAAGAGAGAAAAGAAAAGAGTCTTCTCTCTGCACCCCCCACCCCCACCCCCAGAACAATATTGAGGCCCAGGGAGCATGTTCGAGCTAGCTGGGGTGTCCTGGCACTTCAGGTGAGGGTTCCAGAGGCCCAGGCCCGTCGCCCCAGGCTCTCCCTCCTCCTTAGAATCCCAGCTCTTCAGGGTCTCCCTGTATCCTCCGCACCCAACCCTTTTCAGTCCTCCAGGAAACATCATGAGGGTTAATTATTTCTCAGGGCTGACTCAGACAGCGGTTTTCTGCCAAAGCATTCTGTCAGCCAAGCTGGGTCCTGCTGTTACCCCTGTGAGGAAGCCTTTGTAAGCTGTGTCAGGGAGGAAGCTCCGTTGCAGGGCGGCCCAAAGCCCCGTAGCCTGGGGTGGGGTCCCGCCCAATCCCGTCGGGTGGGGCTGGTTGCTGGGAGGGCGCCCTCCGTAGTGTGAGAAGCCGGCTCCGGAAGGCTCTCAGGCTGCCTTTCAGCCAGTCCCTGTGGGGCAACGCTCGCCTCTCGTTTTGTTGATTGGAGATTGTGCCTCTGAATAGAACTTAATGTCCTTTTGAAATTATCTGTTCTTTTTTTTTCTTTGAGATGGAATCTTCCTCTGTCACCCAGGCTGGAGTGCAGTGGAAGTATCCCAGCTCACTGCAACCTCAGCCTCCCGGGTTCAAGCGATTCTCCAGCCTCAGCCTCCTGAGCAGCTGGGATTACAGGTGCCCGCCACCATGCTTAGCTAATTTTTGTATTTTAGTAGAGACGAGCTGGTCTCAACTTCTGACCTCCAGTGGTTTTCCCACCTAGGCCTCCCAAAGTGCTGAGATTACAGGTGTGAGCCACTGCACCTCACCTTTTTTTTTCTTTCTTTTTAGAATGTCTCCGCTTTCTCCATTTGGTTTAGATTGCCGCTGTGTTCCTAAATGCTGAAGGTGAATGACAGGGCGTCCAGAGGAGAGGGATGACCCTCAAGCACAAACTGTCTGCCTAGGAGGCCAAACGGGGACAGTTGGGTGGGGGATGGAGGGGGGTCTCTGCAGGGAAGGAGGCCTGGGAGACCTCCTGTCTCATATCAGAGTGTGGGATATGAGGGGGGGGGTGCGTCCCAGGGACAGTGGGAAGCAGGGAATGGACACCTACAATGAACCCGAGGGACTGGGATGGCCCTGAGTGGAGATTCAAAGAGGCGGAACTGTGCCTGAGACACCTGGGAACAGAAGCCAGGAGAGAGGAGGTAGAGGGAAGTAGAACAAGGTAGCCCCGTGAATTCACTGCGTGGCAGCCATTAGGTTCACCTGCCCTCTGAGCAGGCTGACACCAGCACCCCGGGCAACCCACATGGGTAGGAAGCTGTGTATGGTGCTGTGCAAACCCCATCATCCCCGGGCAACCCATGCTGTGTCTACAGCTTCCTGCTGCTACACCGGAAACTGTGCCTTCTTATGGAAAGAAGCACTTCCTTCATACAAAAGCAGCCAGGTGAAGACAGGGCTATTCTTGCATGAGAAATGATGATTATACAGATCAATTCCATCTCCTGGAGAAACCCCAGACAGTGGTAAATTACACAGTTACAATTATACCCTAAGCTCCATCTCCCCACCCCCGACAAAAGAGCAGAAAACCCAACAACCATGTTTGGCAGCAAAAATATTTACAGGACAGTTACTTTGTACAAGGAAGTATTTTCTATATTATGTCATTTAATCTTCTCAAGAACCCTGGGATCTATTTACCAATGAATGAACAGAGACTCAGAGAGGCTAAAAGCCAGCCAGAAATCACAGGGCCAGAAGAGTATGAAAGCTAGGCTTGGCGTGGCTGAGAATACAGCGGGACTTGGATCTGGTAAGTGTTCCATAAATCCCCATTGAAGGAATAAATGTGTCTGCCAGGCTCCACGATCAGGGCTTACCTACTGCTCCCTAGGCCATAATTCCCATTCCTAGGATCTGGGTAAGTCATGGCCTACAAATATGCCCCAGAGATTTTTCTAAGATCCTGTTCTCATCTTTCTCCTGTGCTCTCCTCTCCACAGCTGGCATCCTGTATCCCTTCCATGAATGGAGGAGTTAACTTATTTGATGTACCAAGTATAATATTTGAGTGCCTACCACTGGTGCTAAGCATTGTTCTAGATGCTGGGGTCATAGGAGTGAACCAAAAAGGTTGAGATCACATTCTGAACATCACATTCTAGCTAGGGTACAGACTTGGCTGAGAGATTAGTTCTGGCTGAAACTTGTCAGTTCATGCGCAGATCAGGGAGGATTTGGGGGAGAAAAGTGAGAGCTCTGGGACTCCTCAGCTGTGGGCTGCCGTGTACACACGGGGGCAGGCACCAACCCTCCCTCACCAATGATGTGTGCTGTGTCCTTGTGGCTGCAGGAGTGGTCTCAGCAGCTCTGTGTCTCTGCTGTGGCCTCTTCCCTGGTCATGGTTTTCATCCCAGGATGGGCTCCTGAAAATGTCTTTGCCACGGGACCTGGAATTGAGACTAAGAGATTCAGTCTGGGCTGAGCTCATGTTAAAAACCAGGAGCTAAGGCATGGCCCTTAATTTATTTTTTACTTTTATTTATTTGTTTATTTAAGTTCCTGGGTACATGTGCAGGATGTGCAGGTTTGTTACATAGGTAAACAAGTGCCATGGTAGTTTGCTGCACGCATCAGCTCATCACCCAGGTGTTAAGCCCAGCATGCATCAGCTCTTTCGCCTAATGTTCTCTGTTCCCCTACCTACCCCCAACAGGTCCCAGTGAGTGTTCCCCTCTGTGTCCATGTGTTCTCATTGTTCAGTGCCCATTTACTAGTGAGAACATACAGTGTTTGGTTTTCTGTTCCTGCATTAGTTTGCTGAGGATAATGGCTTCCAGCCTCATCCATGTCCCTGCAAAGGACATGATCTCATTCCTTTTTATGGCTGCATAGTATTCTATGGTGTATATGTAACTACATTTTCTTTATCCAGTCTATCACTGATGGGCATTTGGGTTGATTCTATGTCTTTGCTATTGTGAATAGCGCTGCAATGAACACACGTGTGCATATATCTTTATAATAGAATGATTTATATTCCTTTGGGTATGTACCCAGTAATGAATCGCTGGGTCAAATGGTATTTCTGGTTCTAAATCTTTGAGGAATTGCCACATTGTCTTCCACAGTGGTTGAACTAATTTGCATTCCCACCAACAGTGTAAAAGCATTCTTATTTCTTCACAACCTTTCCAGTAGCCGTTGTTTCTTTATTTTATTTTATTGAGACAGTCTCACTCTGTCACCCAGGCTGGAGCGCAGTGGCAAAATTTTGGCTCACTGAAACCTCTGCCTCCCAATTTCCAGCAATTCACCTGCCTCAGCCTCCTGAGTAGCTGGGATTACAGGTGCGCACCATGGTGACTGGCTAATTTTTGTGTTTTTAGTAGAGACAGGGTTTCACCATGTTGGCCAGGTTGGTCTCGAACTCCTGACCTCAAGTAATCCTCCCACCTTGGCCTCCCAAACTGCTGGGATTACAGGTGTGAGCCACCATGACTGACCTATCTGTTGTTTCTTGACTTTTTAATAATCGGCATTCTGATTGGCGTGAGATGGTATCTTGTGGTTTTTGATTTGCATTTCTCTAATGATCAGTAATGTCGAGCTTTTTTCCATGTATTTGTTGGTCATGTGTATATCCTTTTTTGAGAAGTTATTTTTATTCATTTACTTATTTATTTTAGTTATTATTATTTTTTGAGACGGAGTCTTTCTCTGTTGCCAGGCTGAAGTGCAGTAGCACCATCTCGGCCCACTACAACCTCTGCCTTCCTGGTTCAAGCAATTCTCCTGCCTCAGCCTCCTGAGTAGCTGGGATTACAGGCACCTGCCACCACGCCCAGCTGAGTTTTGTATTTTTAGTAGAGATGGGATTTCACCATGTTGGCCAGGATGGTCTCGATCTCCTGACCTCGTGATCCCCCCTCCTCTGCCTCCCAAAGTGCTGGCATTACAGGTGTGAGCCACTGCGCTGGCCCTTTTATTTATTTTTTAGGGACACTGTCTCCCAGGCTGGAGTGCAGTGGCACCATCATGGCTTGCTACAGTCTCGAGCTTCAGGGCTCAAGCGATTCTCCCACCTTTGCCTCCCGAGTAGCTAGGACTACAGGCACGAGGCACCACACCCAGGTAACTTTTCCATTTTTGGTAGAGACAGGATCTTATTATGTTACCCAGGCTGGCCTCAACTCTTCCTCCCACTTCAGTTTCTCAAAGTGCTGGGATAACATGTGAGCTACTGTGCCTGGCCTTTTACAAATTATCTTTTTCTTAATTAAAAACATTTTTATTTTATGCAGGGGCCATGCTAATATTCTCGGTATTATTCCAATTTTAGTATATTTGCTGTCTATCTATCTATCTATCTATCATCTATCTATCATCTATCTATCTATTTTTTGAGCCAGAGTCTCACTTTTGTCACACAGGCTAGAGTGCAATGGTGCAATCTTGGCTTACTGCAACCTCTACCTCCCAGGTTCAAGCAATTCCCTTGTCTCAGTCTCCCGAGTAGCTAGGATTACAGGTGCCCACCATCATGCCTGGCTAATTTTGTATTTTTAGTAGAGATGGTGTTTCACCATGTTGGCCAGGCTGGTGTTGAACTCCTGACCTCAGGCAATCCACCTGCCTCGGCCTCCCATAGTACTGAGATTACAGGCGTGAGCCACCACACCTGAGCACTATTTATTTATTATCATGTGGACTGGGGATTCCTGACACCTTCTAGTGTATGACTTTGATATCTTCCTCAGACATTGCTGCTTTCCTGCCACTGGATGCAAAACAAAAATCCTTACCTGTCCTCTGACTTATCCTTTTGTGCTTAAGCTGGCTCTAGTTGGTTTCTGTTACTTATAATCAAATACAGTCTCATCTTGAAAGTAAACAAAAACTGAGAGCTTGGGTTCAGGGCAGAAGCAGCAGACCTACAGCTGCCTGGATCTGATGAGGTCTGAGAGTGACAAAGTCAAACGGGTTCCCCAGAGACCACTGATCACTGGGGAAGCTCCCTTGCCCTGCGCCACCTCTCTGCCAGGACCAAGGCCTAGGACCACATACTGACTGTTTAGATCCATCTGGATACAACCAGTCTGAACTTTCCCCAAATCTACTCTTGGTACATAATCAGACTTCTTGATCCACACACATTTCTTTTCCCTTACTCTAGACTCTGGAAGGGAGTAAAGAGTGCGGTAAAAGGAAAAGAAGGAAAAATACAAACTATCTTCTAAACTGTGGGTACGGTAATGGAGTGGCTGTCAGTATTGATCATTGCAAGATCATTGCAAGCTTAGCAAGAATCAGCTGCTGGGTCATAGCCTGTTTGGAAAGACAACTGTAGCCCATTAAAAGGGATTGTATATCATCTACAGAAAGCTCTTCTTTGGTTACTTTATGTCTGACTGGCAGCTATTTGCCGTACAGGCCCAGTTTTTTCTCGGAAGCCTTCTATAAGACTAGTTTAGGGAATCTTTGTCAGAGCACGTCTTTACAGTGCACACCTCACTTTGTTTTAGAGATAGGGTCTCACTCTGCTGCCCAAGCTGGAGTGCAGTGGCGTGATCATAGTTCACTGCAGCCTTAAGCTTCTGGGCTTCAGTGATCCTCTTGCCTCAGCCTCCCAAGTGGCTGGGACTCCAGGTACATGCCACTGCACCTGGCTGACTTAAAAAAAAAATTTCTTGTAGAGACAAGATCTCACTATGTTGACCAGGATGGTCTCAAACTCCTGGCCTCAAGCAACGTACCTGCCTCGGCATTCCAAAGTGTTGGGATTACAGGTGTGAGCCACTGCACCCCGCCATGTCACTCTATTTAAATTCCTGTAAGTGTCCTGAGAGTAGACTGAGAGTGTCTAGTGTGGTACCCAGTGTGTGGTGGGTTATCAATATACATGTTCCACAAAAGATAGAACTCAGGCATTTATTTAGTATTACCTAAAATGTCTCCACACCTACCCTTCTACAGATGATCATGTAACTTGTGCACAGACTGTAAGGAAGGCTTAGGTATGTGCCTTTTAGGAAGTAGATAAAACAGGGCTCAGGTGACCTTGACTAGCTAGAAATTCCAGGTCCCTCTTTCAAACAATCTGTCAGTTAGGAATAAGTTAGATTTTATACAACAGAAAGCAAGGTTTATTCTCTCATGTAAAAGAATTCCAGGGGAATTAAGTGCTGGGCAGGAATGGTGGCTCCACGAAGTCAGCAGGAACCCAAGCTGCTTCTGGCTTTCTTCAGCGCCATCCTTAACACTGACTTCCATCTCCAAAGCTACCTCATGGTTTAAGAGGGCAGTGGCACGTCAGCCATCACATCTGTATTCCAGGCTGCAGGACAAAGGGAGAGGGACAAGCAAAGCACAAAAAGTTGGTCATCTGAGTCAGCTCCCTCTCAGTAGACTCCTGACATTTTTACATATAATATTCCCGTACATCTTGGTGGCCAGGAAAGCTTGGAGATGTAGACATTAACTGGGTACTTTGCTCCATATAAACTTGGAGTTTTATAATTAAGAGGGAAACAGATATGCAGCAAGCTGTAGTCTGTCCCCCAGTCCCCAAGCAAAACTGTCAGAAAGGACCTCCCTTATTTTGGTAAAAAAATCAGTTGATCTATAGGCAGCTCCACTCTGCTCTACATCTCAGCTCTCATTGATACAAGGGCTAGTCATCAGTACTTTTTTCTCTGTATAAAGAACTACAATGGCTGGGCACAGTGGCTCACATCTGTAATCCCAGCACTTTGGGAGGCCAAGGCAGGAGGATCCCTTGAGGTCAGGAGTTCAAGACCAGCCTGGCCAAAAAGATGGAACCCCATCTCTACTAAGCACACAAAAATTAGCTGGTTGTGGCGGTGCATGCCTGTGGTCACAGCTACTCAGGAGGCTGAGGTGGGAGAATCGCTTGAACTCAGGAGGTAGAGGATGCAGTGAGCAGAGATTGCCCCACTGCACTCCAACCTGGGTGACAGAGCAAGACCTCATCTTAAAAAAAAGAACAAAAAGAACTGCAAGAAGCATGAGAAGGGTCCTCTCCCCTGCTCTGTTTCTTGCACTTATCACTTGCACTCACTACTAGATGGGACCACATGAAGAGTTCAATGCAGAACTGCAGGAAGGCCCTTCAGCATGTGGGCATCTCTTACAAGGCCGGATGACTGAGCTGAAATGAATACTGATGCTCACGTTGACTGTGATGCAGTGCACGAGGGGCCCTGCTGTAGCAGTGACAACCTGGATGCTCTGCATTTCAGATGGACAGGAAGAGCTCTGAGAACGTGCAGGCCTGGGCACTGGGGTTCAGGACCAGGTGAAGGGGGATGGACCCCAATCCCTTCACCCTCATCCTCTAAGACAGGTAGTACCCAAGATGCCTACAGCATCTTCCCATAGGTGTGGGCAGAAAACCCCACTATGCTACCTTGAACTCTCTACTTAGTGCTTTCTTTCTTTTCTTTTTTTTCTTTTTTTTTTTTTTTGAGACAGAGTCTCGCTCTGTCACCCAGGGAATGCAGTGGTGCGATCTTGGCTCACTGCAACCTCCGCCTCCCAGGTTCAAGCAATTCTTCTGCCTCAGCCTCCTGAGTAGCTTGGATTGCAGGTGTATACCACCATGTCCGGCTAATTTTTGTATTTTTAGTAGAGATGGGGTTTCACCATCTTGGCCAGGCTGGTCTTGAACTCCTGACCTTGTGATCTGCCCGCCTCGGCCTCCCAAAGTGCTGGGATTACAGGCATGAGTCACCACACTCAGCTAGTTAGTGCTTTCTCAAACTGTAGCTTGATTCTCTTTTAAATGGGAGTGTCTGAATATAGGGCAACTGTGGGAAAGGAAGCATGATGAGCTTGGGTTGGAATCCTGGCCTTGCCCCTTGTTTTCTATGTTACCTTGCTAACTTGTTTCACTCCCCCCAAGTGCCCATTTCATCAGGTAAAATAGGAATGGTAATGACACCTCCCTTGCCGAGCTGCTCAGAGAATTAAACAAGATAATGTCGGTGAATGCATTCAGCACAGTGCCTGGGGTACAATAGGTACTCAATAAAAGAGAAAATAAAATGGAGATAGATGGCAAAAGCCATTGAGAAGACTCAACCCCTAAACAAAGCTTCCTCTGAAATTAGAGAAATTTGCAACCCTGGCATCTTGGCTGGAATCCTAGGATACGATGGGCACTTATAGCAGCAAAGCCAGCCACAGCTCAGGACACCACGCCCCAGAGGGCAGGGGCTGCTCCCCATTTGAGGGCTGCCAAGCTCAGGAAACTGATTCACATTTTGTCCTGGGGACACTGCACTTGGAAAAACATTATTGATTCCATGGTTGAGGTTGCAAAGGGAGGAAGAAAGATTGAATTTCATCACATAAAGCACTTATGCCTATGGTACTTTCTCTTTAGAGAGGCACTTGGCAGTCATTTTCATTAGTGTCTCTTCTTAAAACAATCTCAGAGATATCTGATCCCCATTTTCTAAAGGTAGAACATAGAAGAAACAACTAACTGAAGAGTGTGTGGCAGGATAGCAAAAGTCAGTTCATGACCTCCAAATTTCTAGCGTATTGCTTAACTAACCACGCTTCAGCAATCCACTCCACAAATGCCTGGCAGGGGCCTCTCCATCATATACTTATTGCTCAAATTAGTCACTCGTGATCACCAGAAAAATGTAGACACGTAAATCTAGGCTACATGATTCCTTTTACCAAGGAGCTTAGAACAGGAGGTGAAGAGTGACTTTTCCAACCAAATCACAAGTGAGTCTGCGTCCAGCAAGTCCTGGAGCAGGGATGTTGGAACTATTCCAGGATACATGTTACACCATGGAGCTCTGGGTGCCTAGGAGCAATGAAGACAGGGCGGGGCACTGAAATAACCAGCCCCCACACTAACCGAAGCCTCCTCACCAGGGCTCTAGCCACGCTGCCCCTCACCTGAGGAACTCTTGCCTTTGATCACGGCAGCATCACAACCTGTCCCTGATACCAAAGGGAGAAATCCTCTTGGCCTGTGCCCTCCTGGATGGATCGTTTTTCAGAGAACAGGACGTTTAGTGAGTTTGTCTCAGACTGCACAGAGAACATGGTGAGCCTACTAGGGCTGATAGGCTGAGGGAATTAAGAAGACAGGGATAGTGGCTTTTCCTCTGATGCTAAAGCCAGCAGGTACCTGAAATGAGCCCCAAAGCTCAGGCCTGACTTCATGCCTTTCTTGTCCTGGGAAGAGGGTTTATCAGATTCCAAGGAATGCATTTCAGTTATCTTTGTTTCCAATACTTAATCAGCTCCTTCCGCTCACCGAGTCAGGGCCCTTTCTATCTCTTTTCCAGAAAAATCCCAAGGAACAATTGTTTTG